GGTAGGGTAGTGAAGACTGTGTGGCTCCTGCAACAGCTCCCATCTCCCCATTCAGTAGCGGCCTTCTTTCCTTTGTGATGGATTAACCAGGCTGCTCCTCACCCACCCTTGTGCTCTCCTTCCTCCCTATCCTCTCTCCCAGGTGCACCTCCACCCTCAAGACATGTCCTGCTATGACCAGTGCCGGCCATGCCGTCCCTGCGGCCCGACCCCACTGGCCAACAGCTGCAATGAGCCCTGTGTCAGGCAGTGCCAGAACTCCACCGTCGTCATTGAGCCCCCAGCTGTGGTGGTGACCCTGCCCGGACCCATCCTCAGCTCCTTCCCTCAGAACACCGTTGTGGGATCCTCCACCTCCGCTGCTGTTGGCAGCATCCTCAGCTGTGATGGAGTGCCCATCAACTCTGGGTGCTGTGACCTGTCTGGCATTTCCAGCCGCTACAGTGGCAGAAGGTGCCTCCCCTGCTAAAGATGCTGGGAAAGCCCCAAGGAGACAACCTGAGGAACTCAGAACACGGTGCTGGGCACAGGATCAATCTATTCCATATTGTTTTCAGTAGAGCTGAATGGCTTTGCTTTTCTTTATCTTTCCTTGTTTGTTTCACATCCCCTTTGCAGCAAGGTTCCCAAAAGGCCAGACTGGTGGGGATGATCTGTCTCCTTTCCCTCTATGGGGCATGCAGAAGACATAATGCAGGAACTTCTCCATGGCCAAGTACCGCAGACTCACAGCTGCCCCTGGGTCTCCATGAACTGGTGGCCCCCACTTTGAGTGACTTTGTTTCCTTCTTTTGCCTCATTAAAGTTCTGTTGCATTCAAGCTTGGCCTCTGTGTGCTACTTCCCTCTCGACACTCCTCAAGCTGCCAAAAGACAAGGGTGGCAGCGGGTGAGGACAGAAGGAGACCCTTCTCCATACACAGACAAATAGACACTCTGCATTGGCTTCTCTTTGCACAACCATCCCTTGAGTTGAGGAAGACATGCCGGGCTGATCTGCCACCAGTGACTGTCAGTCCTTGCAGTACTTTGTGTCAGCCAACAAATGCCCAGGAAGGCAGGAGGTCCAGAGGGCTCATCAGCTCCATGAGCTCATGACAAAAGGCAGTCCTCTTCCTATGGCCAGAGCTGCGGTGGGGTGGTGCGTGTGGGGCTCTGGCAGATGATTTCCTTGCAGAATAGCAGGAGTGGTAATGCAGGAAAAAGCCTTTGGGATGATGTTTCCCCTCCATTACCCACTCTAGGGACCATGGCCTGGAGGCACCAGCAGGGAAAAGTCGCCCATGCTGCTGAATGTATCAAGGTTGGAAATTGGAGTTAAGTGTGTGGGAGCTGAGAGTGTTCAGCACAGAAATGGGGACAGTGAAACAGCGTATTTCTGAGAGAGATGAAATTGCTCTGATACAGAGCATGCATAAGAAGGTGAAGATGAGCAAGGACAAGGGTACTGAGTGCATTTCCCAAGAGTGCTGAAGGCAGGTGCAGAGCTCTTGACTGCTTCATTGGTGCCCCAGAGGATTTGTGCTCAGGAATTGGCTTTCATTATGGCGGGGGAGTGGGGGTGGTGGTGGTGGAGTGGATATTTTTATGTGTAAATCTCACCCCTTCTGATCACTGG